GCTGTTGATTCGAGGCATCTGGACGTGCAATACCAGGTTCGCTAAATATGATGTGAAGCACTTTCCAATTCTTTATTTGGCTTGTCTCAGTGAAGGATGGTCCCCTCTCACCAGCAAGCAAATCACACTGCATATCGGTGAGCTGGAAGTGCTTTTTGCATGCTGCTTTAATATTTTGGAGCATAGCTTCGCATTTGAGGGGAACCATGGTCAGTGGACCGATACCTAAATATTTTTGGCACGTGCCCTTAACAGATGAGGAAAGGTGTTGCACTGTTAGAAATTCCAATCCAGTTGACTCTGCTTTGTTGTTCCCTGTTCGTTTCTTGCCTACTTTCGCTCTAAATGCATCCCAATCCTGCTTTTTCTGCTTGGACATTTTGGCACATGGCATAAACACAAACCTAAAGTGTATTGTAGGATATATAAAGTTGAAATGTCTGATTGGCTCTGGGCTCTGTGGGCCTATGGCACTCATGGGCCATGTGCATTTTTTTGTAATTTCCAAATAAAGAAATCGTCTTTTTTATTTTTTACTTTTTATTTTATTTTGTTTTTGTTTTAAAAACTAAATAGATAAAATAAAAAAAAGTTAAAAAAAAGGAAGAAATGGAAAATAAAAGGAAAAAAAGAAAAATAAACTAAAATTAACAAAAAAAAAACAGGAAAGATATAAAAACTTCATGGCCCTAATGGGCCACCATAGAAGTTGGCAAAACAATGCGATGCAGTCTCAAAGTAAATGGAAGTGGAGAAACAACTAATAAACAATAAGATGAGATGAGGTTTTTGTGATACCCAGAATAATGAAGGTTGAAGTAGTTGTTATCAGCCGAAGGTGAAGGCTGAGGCTGATAACCCTTAGCGAGACCTTGATTATCCTGGATATCACAAGAACCAAATCTAATAATTGTTTTATTATACATTGAATGAAAAAAAATGGTCACAACAGTGAGTGGAACTGATAATTTATTTCTACACGTGTGAAAATATACAAATCAGCAGCACATAATTTGATTGACAAAAAATTCTAAGCATTAGACAACATGTGAAAAATTGAACAAAAGCTGGTTGAGAAAGTAGATAGCAATAAACAAGTCCAACCAAAGAAAACATTACAATTGTAACAAGCAAAATTTTTAGGAACTTGGGAGTGAGTTGTCTGAAAGTGTAAATCTCGCATAACATGCTCTTCCTCTTAGAGAGTTAAAAGGGGAGACAAATTGATATTAGTTGTTAGGCTTTCTAAACTCACAGAGTCTTCATTGGGAACAGAGTTGCTAGCGCTGGCAGCGGTTAATGTTTCTGACATTCTCCTTGGTGGTTTGATTGGTTTTGCTGTAGGCCCTGCTTGAACTTTCATTTCTGTGCCCACTGACAGTCATTATGTGACAAGTTTCAAACCCTGTTACAAATACATGACTGTGGACGCACTCGAACAGAAGCCTGCAGTTCAGATCATCACACACTTCGGATCACTCCTCAGTTCACAATGCTCTACTTTTTCAAGGATTTTGGTTTGTTCACGATTTGTTTGGTTTTGTTTTCCGCCTTACCACCATATACAACACTGCCGCCAATTGTGCCAAGAAGTCAAGTCCTCATGTATTCATCTTCTCAAGAAACTCGGAACTCCATGGCCAGCCGTTGTGAACTGCTCAACTCTGCCGTCATCGCCAGATCTCTGTCTTTCTCCTTCACAAACTGTGCCTGTGTCTCTGCTTCCATCTCCTATGTTGCCTATGTATTTGCCATCTATTTTCAGTCTGCCATCCCCACAT